GAAATGTTCCACGACGCTTACCTTGGAATAAGACTGCTGTCATCTTCTCCTCGGGGAGGAGAACTCACCGGACGACCGGAGGTCGACTGCCGGGCCAAGCATCTTTCGCAAAGGTTGGTCATTTACACAATTTATCTTCTTTGTTCTTCTGACAGTGCTATATTAGCTCGCTGAAGAAAAAATGGGAGCCGATTTCCCGCTCTTAACGTAATTTATACGGACCGGGTGGGGCCCACACAGCAGGTGGGCGTGGACTAATATTTTTTTCAGTGCTTATGCTCTGCATAACGGGATAAACCCATCAGCGACAGCCTTAAAGGGCGAAGCCTATATGAAATAGAACTTGTCATGATCCATGTTTTTTGTTAGTTTAGTCTTTTGTGGTTTTCCCCGGTGTACCATCATTTCATCTGCCCTCAGTTTGTTGTCTGCTCCTTGGTGTTTTCTCACCTGTTCACCATCTGTAATTAGTTCAGCCATCTCCAATACATATCATCCTAGCCTTACATATTCAGCCTCCTGGAATCAGCAGTGCATTGTTGGTTTTCACGCCCCAAGTACGGTTCTCCTTGTTCCTCCCTGTGATTTTCTCATCACCAAGTCTGTGCTGCCAAGACAGGGACTTTATTTAATAAGTTGTATTATTTGAACTCCTCGTGTCATTCTGCATGCTGAGTTCTAACTTACAAGGTTTTCACATTTACGATAATCTCATATGATCACAATGCTGACTGCTAAAATCTATTAATTCAAATTTATGAACTGACTTGGATAATTCAATTCAGTTCAGTTTATTTATATAAGTCACAACAGAAGTCATCTCAGGGCACTGAACAGAAACATTCATATATAAAAATAATAGGTTGACAAAAACATTCATAAAAATTAAAATTAAAAATAAAATGAAAATAATGGATGTTTGTATGAAATAATAATAAAAAACGCTAAGAAACACTCAAAGCTACAGTCTAACCCAAGTATAGAAAGCATTCCTTCCCTGAACAGCTTTTGAACTAATAATAAAGCGAAGCCGAACTGTTTATTCAAAGCTGGAGGAAAAAGATAAAGAAATATTGAGCAAACAACAACACTCTTCTTGGGAGGAAATTTCTCACATTAATAAAAGTTCATGCTCCTTTGCGAATACCAGAGTGGGCTCAAACTATTTCATAGTTTCACATATAATCTCCCCTGCTTCGTGGCAGAAGCATTACTTTTCGTGTAATGTGTTGCACAATCCACAAAACACCTGCAACTTTTCATTTTCATGTATTCCTATAAGCTATGATAATGATCAGTCACTTCAGCATGACTAAATATTACACAGTTTAAAGACTAAAATTATTAGAGATTCTTTAATCCTAAATCCTCTATTATTCTAAAGTTATTCATGAATGTCAAGACAATTTTAGTTGTTTATAGTGTTAAAACAGTACGAGGACACAGCTGGAGGGATAACCTCACAAAGACCCTCATCAGGACCTGTAAGTTTAGATGTCAGTTATGTTTCATGTGCTGCCTGGACCAGAAGGGGCAACGAGCTGGGAAACTGGCTGGACGTAAACATGTCCTTCTGGCTTTCTTATTCAATCTGGATTTAACAAAAGTAAAATATGACTAGAGTCATCAAAATATGATCAAATTAGAAGAATCCCCCAACACATCAATCGCCAATAACTTAACAATGTCCACCTTTTATTTCCTCACTCGCTCTCGTGCAAGATGGACGCCTTTCTTCCCTCTCTCGTCCTCCTGCTTTTTTGCTCTCTGTCTTGTGTATCGGAGCTCCTATTTACACATCTTGCAAATCGTAAACTACTGTCTAGGATCTGGTCAGTTGGACTTTCAATGCAATCTATATAATTTTTTTCAACAAAGAGACAGGGTCCTGGAGAACCCTCATGCATTGCTGAGACGCATGTGGCAGGGTATATGGGAGCTGATGTGCCTTTCCGTATTTTCTCAGGAGGACACCGAAGATGTTTATATCATTGGAATCATTACATCAGGGTTTCTGTTTTTTTTGGCACTGGTGGATACCTATGTTATTGGCTATTAAAGAGGACGGCAGCACCAGTTTCGACCATGGCAAAGCTGCCGACCCTGTATGAAGGTTTGTTTGTGCTTCGAGCGCACAAAATCAGCTGATTTACAAGCTAAACCGTAAGATGGAGGTGATCTGTGAGAATTGCAAGCCACTTGCGGCTTCTGAAATTCGCCAGCATGCTGGGGACGACCTTGGAGGAAGGTAATAAGCATGGACCAGTGGAATGCCCACAAATCTGGCCATTTTGAATCGAAAACACCAGAAGAACTCAAGGCTGATGAAAAATAATAGTCTGCCTGAAAAAAAATCAACAACTGTGGCTTATCTGATTCTGACTCCTCCGTTTGGCGTAGAAGAAGGCCGACTTATCAAATTTGTCCTGGGATAGGTGCAAACTAAGAAGGATCTGTCTATCGCAACCCACCCCCCGAGAACTTCTGTGAATGCTTATCAGTGCTGAACCACTGACACCAACATCTTAACTGGACTATGGACTATGGAAGTGCTTCATGGACAAATCTCACCATCTTGCAGTCAAATGCATATGTAATGTGTCTATAAATGTGCTTGCTGGTAGTTTTTTATGTCTTAAATCGTGTCCTGATAAGGACAAGATGTGAAGATATCGTTTTTTTGTAAAACCACTATCCTTTCCTCGTGGCATTTTCCCCTTTTCTATCTAAAAGAATAAGAGGCTACGCTCTTAGAAGCAGCAGCAATGTGCACTCCGCCCATCTTTCAGACTGATTCTTTTCTGCCTTTTCTATTGTTTTTATCAGAGTATCTGCTAAAAAGATGATGCTTGAAGAAAATGAAGCTTTATTCACCACACCCATTTAAAGCACTACTTTAAATGGACTGTGTACAACTTCCCTAAACATCACAGTGCACTTCTATAGAGATATCTTTAGACGAACCACTTCCCAGAACTGGGTACTCCATGGGGAAAACCAGTAGTGTGTGTTACACACGATGACTGGCAGGTGCTCTTCATCCTAAGAACAAACTAACATGACCTCACTTATGAGCAGTGCGTATGAGATAAGATACCTTTGGAAAAGTAATATGAGCAACGTTTGTACTTAAAATAATTTGAATACCTAAATTGTTAAGATATTGTCCATTTCTTAGAGTAATTTCATTTCCAGAAATTTTAAGCTACAGCTCCTCAGAACCCTTCATTTTCATCAAAAGACTTCAGTTGCAAATGCAAATATCAACTTGATATCCAATCTCTGGAAGTGCAACCAGGAGCTTCCACAATACCTGTCATAACTTTTTTTTTATTTTTTACAAACACAATGAACTGTAGTGTATGATAGTGTGTGATGAACAACAAATTGTGAAAAGAAAAGATTTGTTGTTTATTTTTCAATGGTATGCTAAAATAGTATAAACAGATTTGATGGTCCCCCTAAAAAGACTATTAGGTATAGTAATGTTTCAAGCTGATTTGCCTTAGTATCACATGTGCCGTCAATCTTTTCATCAGACGTTCAGCCATAAGGTTCACGGAACAGTAGCCAACCTCCCAGAATGTGGCCGCAAGAGGAAATGCAACCCCAGGTTGATCAGACTGATAGTGTAGATGGTAGAAAAAGAGCCAAGAAAACCATCCAAAACCACGATGAACTCCAAGGTCAAGTTACATCACCTTCTGATTGCATCATCCATTGCATATTGAATCATGATGGGCTTCATGGCAGAGGACTTTTTCTGGTGACAGAAAAACACAAAAAAGCAAACTGATATTTGCCAAAATGCACGCTGACAAGCACCAAGGTTACTGAGACCGATAAGACAACACTAGAGCTTAGACTGTCACTTCATCCATCCATCCATTCATCCATCTGCTTTAGTCCTCCTTTTTGGGTTGTGGGGAGCAGGTCTTTCACAGTCACGGTATGAGAAGCGAGGTACACTCCAACAGGGCCACAGAAAAATAAAAATAGATGAACAACCACTCATACTCTAATTCAAACCTAGTGACAATCACTGTGGTTCCCAACCCTGGTCCCTGAGGAACACCGCCCTGTTTGTTTTAGTTGTGCCTTTGCTCCAACACACCTGCTTTGAATGAAAGGGTGATTAACAGGCTTCTGCCAAACTTAAGGAAGTAATTAAACCACTGAATCAGGTGTGTTGGAGCAGAGAAACAACTGAAACATGCAGGATGGTGTCCCTCAAGGACCAGGGTTGGGAACCACTTACCAATAAGCCTAACATTTGGTCTGTTGGGTCTGTGGGAGGAAACTGGAGTAGCTCCAACCATTGGACCACTGTACCACTGGGCCACCAGCCAGTCCCATATTTTTTTCTATTGCATTTTATTTTTGTTATAAAAGTGTACAAATGAATTCATCCTCATTATGTGCATGTGGCTGTGCACCAGTGGGTGTGCACACCATAAAACCTTAATCATAGCTGCAGTAATTAAGTTGAAGGTTTACTTTAAGTCATATTTACAACGTCTGAGCTGTTTGAAACCATGATTTCACCTCTCCAGATGTGATTTCTGAGTTACTGATCAGCCCATCACTGATATGAACAGTGAATCCGGTGGATCCATCCACATCTGCGTGTTTAGGATGAGTATGGTTAGTGGAAGGTTTAAACTCCGTGTTGTGGCCCAGCTGCTGCCATGAAGAACAGACAGACTTGTCTGAAAGGAAATTCATCTTTAATCTGGGTCTGAAGCTAAAATGTTTCCACTCCACGGTGGTGGGCAGCACCAACAGCTGTCAACCCGCTGCTCACTGAGTCAAACACCCCCAAGTTTCATAACAAAAAGCAAAGGTCAGTTAAAGTTTTTTTTTTTTTTTTTTTATAAATCCCAAACTTCTTTTAGTTTCGATCAACTCGTCGGAAGTACGAAGCAGCGAGCAGATTCGTCCACTTTTCCTGATGCGTGTTGGCGCTGTGTCTGTACGAGTTTTGAAATAAATCAACTTACCAGCAGTTCTCGAGCCTGGCCCCGAACCAAGCAGAAGGTACCAGATCCACATCATACGTTCGCCTTTCTTTTTGTTCTCCCTCCCCCTCGGCCTGCTCTTGTTGTCCTGCCCCGCTACGGGGCCAAACCTGGAGGGGGCGAAAAGAAAAGAAACAACTTCTCCGATGCAGCAAGTCTGAAGCTGTACTTTTCTTCTTCTTCTTTATCTTCCGGCAAAACTGCGAGTGCGCTCGTGTTGGAGTAGAGAGTGTGTTTGTGACGGGGGGAGAAGGCAGAGGAGCTGGGGGGGGCTCCGGGCAGGCGGACTGCAGGCTGAAGGGGAGGCGGAGCCGGAGGCAGAGAGCCGGGGAGCGGAGGTCGATGGGTCCCGGCCAGAGGAGTAACCCCCCCCCCCCCCCCCCCCACACACACACACACACACTGTTCACTGGGGGGAAGGGGGGGGGACCACCACAATGAATGAATGAAACAGCAGAGAAGTAAAAACATAAAGACATTTCAAACTGGTTCGCTTCATTATGTGCAGGGCAGGAGCGATTCTAAAATCTGACCTTTAGGGGGGGCTTAGCCCCCAGTACTGACAATGGATTTGAACAACGCAGTGGCATCAGAAGCATACATCTCCTCCTACACGTCTCTGCGTGAGTGCAGCTACAGCGTACGCTCTCTGGACATTATTACCTGCAGTGTTCCCTCAGTGCGGACTGAACTTGACAAAAGAGCCTTCTCCTACTCCGCTCATGTTTCCTGGAATATCTTACAAAAAGACCTGAAGCTCTCGACCTTGACCTCTCTAAGTGGCTTTAAAAATCTGTTGGACTCCTGGCAAGGACCAATGCAGACATTTTCCTGTTTTTAGTTTTCTACATTTGCCTTATCTAGCTGTTGGGTCCTCTCCCATAAAATTTGGAATAAAGTAGATGCCATTTCCTGCACTCTGGTGTATTTTAACGGGTTGTTAAACATCTATGTTTATCTACATTTGTAAACATGTGATTCAATAACTATTTTAGAGAGCAACAAGAAGTAACCTGACCAACAGCTCTCCTTGTGTGAATAGAGCGCACTCTGCTTCTTTCAGGCATCCTAACACCACCGGTTGACAACTGTATTGCAACGCACAATACAAATGCAACAGCTAAGATGCTACAGACAGCACTCCATTTCTGTCGCACATCCTAACACCCCCTCCCAGCTCCTGCAGGTAAGGGGAATATCACTTTGAGACAAATTGAGGTTGCTGAATGGTCAGTTGATGATGAGCCTACTGGATTGACTGACAGGCGGCGTGGATCTGACTAGTGACAAAAAAAAATCATAGATTTTACTGGCCCATTTAAGAGAGTTATCATTTATTTCATATTTATTCCAAATGTATTCAAATTTTTGGTGAATCTAAGGTTTGAGAACTGAATTTCCTTACAGAATCCTAATGATGGTTTCTTTATTTTTCAGAGGTGCTGAGTTAAAATTTAGGGGTGCTTGAGCACCCCCAAAAAGTGGCTAAAATCACCTCTGGTGCAGGGAAAGTAGGTTAGACCAGACAGTTGAGACAACAAAATACATTAAATTAGGGGTTTGTGATAAGGTATTTATTTTTGCTCATTCACAAATCAAGAAATTTATTAGTAGTTTGAAGTGTCCACAGTTTGAAATATTATGGTGCACTTTTTGTACCTATACATTTATATTACCTGTTTTCTGTTGCATATCTGCACTGTGTGTTGTTTTATTTTGCATGTTATGCTCTATGTTGCACCGTGATCCTGGGGAACACTGTTTCATTTCAATATGTACTTGTACGTAGCTGAAATGACAGTAAAACCTCTGACTCTGAGAGGGAGACCTGTGGAACAGTGAGACAAAGATCAGAGGTCACAAAGGTGCAGGACTTCATGTTCTTGGGTTCAAGTGTCCAGGAAAATGGGGAGTGTAGTAAAGAGGTTAAAAAAGATGTGTTTAGAGGAGAGATTTTAAAAATAGAGACTGAGGTGGCCTGTCGAATGTTGATGGGCAGATTATTCCAAAGTTTAGGGCCCACGACTGAAAACGCTCGATCTCCTCTGAGCTTCAGCCTGGTTTTTAGTACGGCCAAAAGCAGCTGGTCTGATGATCTCAAGGCCCGAGAAGGAGTATAAGGATGAAGGAGGTCGGAGAGGTATGAGGGTGCAAGGCCATTAATGCACTTAAATGTCAGCAGAAGAATCTTAAAATCAACTGTGACACACACAGGAAGCCAGTGAAGAGAGAACAGAACTGGAGTAATGCGCTCAAACCTGCGAGTTCCTGTTAGTAGCTGAGCTGCAGCATTTTGGACAAGCTGGAGACGTGAGAGAGAGACCTGACTGACCCCTGCATAAAGTGAGTTACAGTAGTCCAGCCGGGTTGTAATAAATGCATGGACTAATTTTTCAAGCTAGTTGTATGGTCTTGTGACAGTGGCACTGACAAAACGACAGGAGAAAGAACTGGAAGTGGCAGAAATTAAGATATTGAGGTTCTCCTTAGAAGTAGTGACAAGGATGGATAAGATTAGGAACGAGATCATCAGAGGTACAGCGCAAGTTGAACACATGGGAGATAAAAGTTAGAGAGCCCAGACTGAGATGGTTTGGACATGTCCAGAGGAGGGACAGTGGGTATATTGGTAGGAGGATGTTAGAAATGCAGCTGCCAGGAAAAAGACAAAGAGGAAGGCGAAAGAGAAGATATATGGATGCAGTTAGAGAGGACATGGAGGTAGTTGGAGTAAGGACAGAGGATGCAGAGGACAGAGTGAGATGGAGGAGGATGACTCGTGGCGACCCTTGAAGAGGGACAAGCTAAAAGAAGATTTACAGTTGAGACAATACCCACAGGAAATACCGTGAAGCCGACTGATATGACAAATCCAGGTGTTTAGAAATGACAATCACTCTCAATGTTTATACATTAGATTAATTTTATTTAATTTATTCCGTAATTTATTCCGATGATTGCGCTTACAACCCTTTTCTATTCCATACTGTTTATCGAATTGGTCAAATTTACACAGCTTTATCTTAAATGTACTCATTGCAAAGCATGAAATCAAACATAAAAGAGATTATGTCAAATGTTTCAGTTTGAAAGCAATTACTCCAGTAGTTTTCCAGATTTGCAATTCTGAAATATGGGTCCACTTTCAATGTAAACAAAGCGCTCGGTGGAATCCACTGAAAACCAAGTAGAAACGTGAGTCATGTGATTAGGGTGGCTCCATTAGGGTGGCTGTGTAGGCAAACAAAAACAGTGGAACTGGTCAAGTGTAGAGTCTCAGAGAAGTTAGAGAGTTGGAAACAAAGGAGTGAATCTGCTAAGCATGAAAAACATTAGAAAGAATGAACAAGGCAAGTGCTGAGAATAAATACTGGGGATGAAATGGGACAGTGGAGCACCATATGTACAAAGTTTGGCTTACAAACACACAGCGTTTGCTAAACTTCTTAAAGACCAGTAAGTGTACTACTTAAAATAAATGTTTTCTTTTTATCTGCATATCTCACTCAACAAATCTGATCATCAATACGTACTGAACACATTAATAATTTTGTATTTATTGATCCCAAAGAACTCTTTAATGGACATGATGGGCCAATTTTCTGTCACTTTGGCTCTTTCCATTGATTAACAAACTTGTGGTAGTTGGCAGCTATTCATAAATTTTGATTACCGGTACACATTTTTTTAAAGTACACATTGAAAAACAATAAAAAAAGAGTGCTGATATGGTTTCTTTCTTCATTACATTGTTTTGACCAGTCTTCACAATATTGCAATGAGTACCTTTAAATCAAAACACATTTTTAAATACAGTATATGATGTCCTACATATTCTAGTATATATGTAAATTATGAATAGAGGTTTCAAATATAACAAAAACCTTGGTTGTTTTTCTGCTGGGTCTGTTATATCTTACGTTGCAAAATTAGAAAGCACAAAATGGAATTTTATCCTTTTAAAAAAGTGCATGACAGTGTCATACAATATGGCCATTTTTAGGGCATAATTGAAGCTTTACAATAATCTAGATAACTCTGTTAAAGAAAACAAACTATTAAATTAGGAAGGGCTTAGGTGAAGTGTAAAATTTGTCTTAGAAGAAAAGAAACTTTTGCCAGTATCTTCAGGCTGAAGAGATACACACCTCAGTGAGCACACTAATGCATGTGCACAAAATCATAGATCAGCCATGTTGCGTATTCAAGTTATTTAATGTGTTTCACCTGCACCCTTGTTCTAACGGTATCTCGTACCTTTACCTTAGAAATGGATAAAAACAAATTTCCAGATACCAGCTTTCTTTTCCTTTAGTGAAATAATAAAAATGAGTCTTTTCCAAAAAGATGAAAAAACATTTGCAATTACAAGATTTACTATAGAGACAGTAAACTGGACAAAGGCAATCTAAAGACATCTTTTAGAAGATGATTAAACATAAAAAAGAAACCTGTTTGTTGAAAATTGAAGCAAGAAAGAAGCTAAGAAAAACACACCGAAAGACATTTTCTCTCACCTCTTTATTGTTGGTGTTCTTATTCGATCTTGGTGTTTTCATCTACACAGGGAGGAATTTAATATGTAAGGACCCAAACAGTGCAGTGACAAAAGGACATCCATCCATCCATCCATCCATCCAGATAGATAGATAGATAGATAGATAGATAGATAGATAGATAGATAGATAGATAGATAGATAGATAGATAGATAGATAGATAGATAGATAGATAGATAGATAGATAGATATGTTTGTGTATGTATGTATGCAACCAGTTGCACATGTGCATAGCAAAAACAGAGATACAAGGCTGAAAGTAAGAGAGAAAGTACATCAAAGTTTTATCATTTTATTTGCATGCAAATTAAGTTGTTTTCAGTCAGAGACAGACAGCAGCAGGGGTAGAAGGACAGGAGGCCTCACCTATCAAACCTTTCTCTTTATCATAGAGTTGCAGCTGTGTGCAGGCACAATTTTGCTTCAAACAAACCCAGTCCTTTGACAGCATGCTAACCTGAAGGCAAACGATTGGGATGAGTCCCGATATCAGATTCCTCTAGATTACTTTAAATTCATTCACACAATGCCTTATCTAGCCTAAGCTTAGTGCAGGCTCAGACTCCAAGGGAAGGGTCTTGGCTTGTCAGTCAAATCTGTGGAAACTTTGTCAAAGATCCCAGTTTGATAGCATCTATGAGGCCCTGTTGTCCTCTTTCCCCTCATTGTTGCCTGCTGGGCCTTATGTAATTCCTTCTGTTATAATGAGTGCTGCTGCTAGATGGAAGTACAAGTGCACTGAATAACCAC